GGCCCCCCCCCCCCCATTCAGTTGGAAGTCCTAGATATTTCCCTGTCTGCTGAAGGAGAGGAACTCTTAGATAGGCTCCAAAAATGTTGTTGCACTTCATGGGGAGTGTTTCGGCTAAACAGCACTCCAGATTTGTTCAAATTAATAAGCTGCCCTATCGCATAACAATACCTACTCAAAACATCCATAAGCACTTGGCAATCACTCATAGTAGCTGTTGAGAAAAAAATTGAATCATCTGCAAAAAGCAGATGTGAGAGCTTAGGTCCATTCCTGCTTAACTGAACACCTTTGATCTGGTTACTATCCATTTCTAACTGTATCAGCTTTGTAAGACACTCTGTGACAAGGATAAACAAAAAAGGAGAGACGGGATCACCTTGCTGTAATCCCCTTGATGGACAAATTTGTATAGCCCTTTCACCATTCACCAACACATACATCTCACTGTAGTCACGCATTGCATAATTAATTGGACCCATCTTGTCTCAAAACTCATGATTAGTAAAAGATCTTTTTGAAAATCCCACTCCACCATATCATACACTTTAGCAATATCTAATTTAAGAGCCATTTGATATTTCTTTGTCTTTCTCCTCTCCCTTAAAGACTAAAGAGTGCATCACATGTTGTGCAATTATAATATTGTCTTGTATTTACCTTTCCACAACAAAAGTTCTATGTTTTTGTGACACTACCTTAGTCATAAAAAGTTTAAATATAGTCACTAACAACTTCAAGATTACCTTATAAATAAAATTAGAGTAGCTGATAAGTCGATATTTTTCAATTTCCTTACGATGTTGTACCTTTGGAAGAAGAGCTATATTTATTTTCTTTTAACTCTGTCAGCATAATGCCGGACAAGAAAAAGGATTGGACAGCAATTAACACAACACCTTTCAAAATTTCCTATTATTTTTGGTAAAAAATTCCAAATAGGCCATCTCGACCTGGGGCTTTCAATGCCCCCAAGCTGAAGACTGCCTTTTGGACCTCCTCAAGATCAAGTGTCCTCATAAGATTATCATTCATTTATTGTGCCACCACTGGAGAGATATTCTGGAGCAGCTGAACATAATTTTTGTTTCCCTCCGAGGTGAATAGCTTCTGAAAGTGCCAAAAAAGGGCTGTGGTCCATGTGGTTTCGAACAGTCAACTCCAGTTGACTAGGATAAATGGGTTTTTTAACTGTATTTAGCCCAAATCGACCCGAACTCTATCCGAAACGTTGTACTTTCTCTCCCCTTTCAGCTCCATTCCTAACCTCACTTCCCTGCACACACACACACACAGAAGACAGAGAGACCGAGAGAGGAAGAAAAAATGGCCTCTTATCTCTCGTCTTCTACGCTCTCAGCTGTTCCATGCCAGTCTCTACGCTCCAAGTCCAAGGACTCCTCGAAACACTGCAAGTCCCTCTCTCCCTCCTTTTGCATCTCCTCTGTGTGTGTGTGTGTGTGTGTGATGTATTTGCCTACAATAATCTCCAAAGTCTTACATATTCTCTAAAGAACGAGGTTTTTTTTTTTGAGTTTTTTCACTGAAGATCAGATTAAGGCTTCTTGTTGAAGTGGGTTGTGAATAATAGTTTTGATTTCCTCATGTTTGAATAACAGCCAGTTCAAAGCCGGTTGGGTGCCATCTGAGGTCCAGTTTGGAGAATGAGAGCTGCTCTCCTGGTGTTTCAGACCACTCTTCGGAACCCATAAAGAAAAAGGCCTGTATTTTATCTGTATCTAGTGAATTATCAAATATCATTTACCCAAAAAGAAAGATTTGTCAATAATGCTCTTAAACTCAATTGCTTGCATATTCTCTGTGTTTTTGGTCCTTAACATAACAATGACTGGGATAAAATATAGGAATGGTAAGTACTTGATTTGTCTCACTCTGGTACATAAAGTATGAAATTGCTTCCTAAAAGATTCCAATCTGAATAGAAATAGTCATTATGAGTCGCTTGAATTGATAAGGGCAAATGCCATTAAGTTCAAGCTGGAGGAGTATTTGAAGAAAAATGAAAAGCAATTGCCATGAAATTCAGGCTGGTTATGGTTCTCCCCTATGAAGCACGGACACTCTCGAGAACGTGACGTATCCGTGTCGGACACGTATCGGACACCAACACTCTCGGACACGTGTCCGATACTCTTTTATCCGTGCCATAATTAAATGATAAATTTTTAATTTCGGATACTTATTTGGTGACGTGTCCGACACTTATTTAGAACGTTTCTACCATTAAACAATTGACATTTGTTGAAATGTGACAAATCTTAAAAATTTGAGAAAATATAATTACTAATACTAGACATATTAAAGATGTACTCCAAATATAATAATAAAAACAAAGTATGCATAACAGTTTTAAAAGAGAGGAATTGAAAAAATGAAAGCAATTATTTAAATTATATATTAGGTACACATCGTCTACAAAAAAAATTCATGATTATTGACTATAATGAGGATGTTTTAGTCTAAAAATTCACATAGATGACTAGACATTAGGTTTTCTTATCATAAAATGCTGATTTTTTTATGAATTGTATATTATTATCACTATATTTGCAATAAATTATATAATGTTATATATAAAATATAATTTTTTTGTACCGTGTCCGTGTCCTACTTTTTTGATAAATGTCGTATCGGCGTGTCTGTGTCGTGTCGTATCTGTGTCCCGTATCCGTGTCCATGCTTCTTAGGTTCTCCCTGTCGTTGAAATGCAGTTGTGCGTGTGGATCCTTCATTCTAGTTGCAGTAAATGCTTGATCAAATATTAATGAGTGGTTGATTTAGTGCCCCATTTCGAAGGCATAATGTTTCTATAATTCTTTATGTTTCTATCTATCTTCTAAAAAAAACACTTGTATTCTGCTTCATTAAGTCCAAAATGATGCCCAAAGAATTTTAGAAATCTGTCTGATTCTAGTAAATGTTGCCTTTCTCAACACAGGGATCTCAAATGTTGATCTCACGACGGTGTTGCTTAACTTCTTTATGTTCAACAATTGCTTTGATAAACTTTTCTGGCAATTTTATTTATGAAACCAAGGCGAGTTCTTTGGATGGGAAAGAAAAACCTGTGTGCCGGAATTGTGGTGGTAGTGGTGCCATAATCTGTAAGTACACATCCTATGATTGGTTTCCTTTTTGTGCTGACTTTACCATATCAGTTCTGGTTGCATATTGTGAATATGGGTGGCAGGTACTTGCCAGCTGCAAACTACATTTCTTCTCAAGGTCCCTATGCCTTGGAAACATTTGACCTCAGTATACTTATTCTGTTTTTTATCCTGTTTAGTATGCAAAACTAAATATTGCTGAGCATTTGCAGATCTTGTTTGTAATACTTTTGCGAATACATTCTATGGGGATTTTAGACATCAATGGGGACAATAATATCACACATAGACATCTTTACTCTTGTTCCCTTTTTTGGACAACTCAAAGTTGTAGGCTGATACTAAGGATACTAGACATGAAGGGAAGTATCTTAGAGTTTCCTTTAACCATTGAATAGAAACATGGTGCGAGAGATCAATGTACTAGGGCTCATGCCCAAATAGGGGCTTTTTTTTCTCTTGCTTGATTTCGTGAGGAAGCTGAAATACCCTGCGAATGTCAACTGCTAAGCCCAAATGTAAATAGCCAACTATTTGCTCATATTACTTGAATATTTTGAAGTTTCCATGAAGATCAAATATATGACGTTTCCATGAAGAACAAATAGATAGGTTGGTCATTTTGGCAGGTCCTATGTGATAGAATGGATTCTATTGTCAACAAGACAATTTCCTACTTTATTCATTTTCTTTTGTTAAATTGTATACTTCAAATCATCAATAGATGCAATTTTATGGCAATGTTAACTTTGTTGGATTAACACCTGTGTGTGTGGTTTTTTCTGAAGTTACTAGTAATGATCATATAACTTGGTGTCTTGGACTATTGTGATCCAGAGTAAGTTGGCCCCTTGATAAGTTGTTTCTGTTAAGGTGTTGCTGCCATATTATCTTTCATTATCCTTGTACGCTGTCAGTGCTTGCTTTATCCGTACATTTCCACTAATGATGCAAAAATAGCATGAACTGTTTAATTGTGAAAGGTATAAAGTGAAAATCCTGCCCGTAGATGAGTAAAGGTATAGTTTAAGATATATGCTCAAAAAGGTACAGAAGATACCCTGGGAGTTGAGTGTTTCCGAATTAATCCAAACAGTTAATACACTTCAACTTTGTTTTACTTTTGGTACCCTGCTCTCGTGTCGATGAGATGTTGATTTGCTTTTTATATAGGTGATATGTGTGGGGGTACAGGAAAATGGAAAGCTCTCAATAGAAAACGGGCTAAAGATGTTTACGAGTTCACTGAATGTCCAAATTGTTATGGTATGTACTTTTCATTCATGCTCCTTAATTTGGATATTCTTTTTTGGCTTGCGTATATTTTGTTGGCTATTGTGTATTTGCATGATTTGAAACCTTATTACAATGGTCAACTAGTACGCATATATTTGCTCCTATTGATAACAGAGATATTCCACTTGTTTAGACACTGTAACTGAACAATCATAGTGACCGTGCCCAAAGGGATGTTGAGGAATGCTGGACACATTTTCCCTCGGAGTGTTGTTTATAATAAGAGATTTTCTTAATGTCCCAAATATTATTTGGGTATTGACTTTTGATGGATACTCCCTATAATGTATACCCTTCGTGCATAAAATTAATTAGGTTAATAGTTCTTTTCCTCCCTAAAGTATCTATTTTTTGTCAGTTTGGTTCTTAAAGTATCAATTTTGTCAATGTGATCCCTAAAGTATTTAATTTATATCACTTTGTTCCCTAATCGGATAATTCGTTATGTTTTTTTATACATGCCCAACACGTGATCAGTCTATCAAAAACTTGCTGGTCCTTCTATGTAGAGACCATTTTGAAAATTCTATTTCATTTTCGATTGAAGGTAGCAAGCCACTCCATTACTATTACAAATGCTAGATAGAAGCAACTGGTGTGTCCGATTGACAAATAACTGTCTTGTATTACCAAAGTGTTTTGACTAATCATGTTGATTGTTACTGAAAATTCACTAATAATAGCACCACCTGCTTAGAAGTTTTACTGAAGTGAAGTCCTTGAGATGTTGAGAGCAATCATTATAATTGTGCATGTTTATTATACTTTATGTATAGAAAATGATAATTAATTGATTGCGATGATGCATGAGTCAAAGATTTCACATTAAAGGAAATATATGATTTACTTATTGTAAAATTCATATTTTCCGATGCTATGTAATAGTTAAATCGATGTATAGTCTCATATATTTTGACATACAAAGTTATACTATTGTGTCTCCGACTTGTGTTCTTGTCTTTTGTTGCTCAATAGGTGCTCTCTATTGGATCAAAACAGTTTCTTAAGTGTAAAAATTGAATTTTTAGTCGATTTTGAACCTAAATTAAAGTGGGACCTGTTCGTTGTTTCGAGTAAATTTTCGTGGGTTCGTATTCTACTTTGTGAGGAAAATAATGTAGTGTATTCATTTGCTCAAATCGAGTAAGAAATGAATGAGAAAATAGATTTCAAAGTGACCTACTTGAAATGTAAAAATAGAGGTTGTGCAATGTAAGATTTGACATCAATCTCATAGTGGTTGAGTAAGAAGTTCTACATGGGCATATATAGGCCAAATTTGTTCTATGGAATTGGGCCCCAAGGGATACCATAATTTTATGAGTGGAGCGAGCGCCTACATGCCTTCAGCACTACCACAAACGCATGACGCCCACCTCGTCACGCCACGCCACGACCCGATCCAGTCGAGCCGGGCTATAGTACGGGTGTGGTTTAGACCAAGCCCTATCTTTTTGGGAAAAAATTGTTTAATTAATTGGGCGTGATGGATTTGAATTCACACTGGTTCGAATTGCTTTTTCAATTCGAAATGTGAGTTGTGTCTGTTACACAAGTGGTGTCTTCTGGCTGCATGTGTCTGCTGGGTTGCATTCGTTCATACCATTCTCTATAAATATTTCAGTCACATAATCATTTTGTATCAAATACATTCATAGTCTTTTAAGACAGTCTCATACATCATTAAGATAGTCTTCATTTGGAGTGTACACAACATAATTTTTAGTTCGTTGGACGAGTAGAATGGAGTGCTACTTCTACTTGTGTGAAGATCATTGTATCTTAAGAGGCAGACGCCTTGTATTCTATAAGCACCGTGTGTGGGGGCGAAATCTGTCTTAAGGATATAGTGTCAAACACTAACCTTGATCTGCATAAAGTTCAATAATATTTCTTGTTCTGCTATTGGGTCAGTATTTATGTTGGTTTGACAAATAGTTACGTGTAACTGTTTCGTTAAATATACTGTAACTGTTTCGTTAATTTTTTTGTAACTGTTTCAGTATTCTGTATTACTATTTCGCAATTGACTGTTACTATTTTATTCTAAATTACACAATATCAAAAATTTCAATAAGTGATTTTACTATATTTGAAATACCTCAACAACACTCTCCTCTGTTTTCTGTTGTTGCTTTCTTTTTCTTTTTGTTTTTCCTCCTTGATAGTTAAGAGTTTGTGGTGCAGGCCGTGGGAAACTTGTGTGTCCTGTTTGTTTAGGGACTGGTTTACCTAATAACAAAGGTCTTCTTAGGAGGCCTGATGCAAGGCAATTGCTTGATAAGATGTACAATGGTCGGTTGCTGCCAAGTTCGTAGGTAAGTTTTTCTAATTTTATGTATACAGCTTGCCTTACCGAAAATTCACTCTTATGTTTAGCTGGGTAGTCAATTGCGTGCATTACAGATCATTTAATGGTTCAGCTTAAGCTTACTTTCATATAGGAACATGCTCTGACTGCTGCAATGGTTTTGCTGCCATAGGGGCTTGCTCTTCAGTCAATGCAAGTTTGTTGGATGTGAGTTGCCTACCTTCTACTCCGATGTTGTGTTAATTAAAAGGCAGATTTTGTATATAAATAATACTAAAGGTTAAGTCTGCACCCATCTACTCGTTTCCAACACATATTTATTAGGAACTAAACTGGGTTTTTTTGTTGTGTCTGAACGGTTACAGAATGGGGTTGTATGCATACACTTCCAGCTGATGGCGGGAGAAGGAATTGCATAACAAATATGGACAAGCCATTGATCAGGCCTCAACTTTTTATGCATATATTTGGTATAGTTCGACTTTGTTTGGGCGCGGTCTTGTTTGTTTATTTTGCTAGGAAGTGAAATGGTTGGTATGGCAAATTGATCAATGCTGGTATATGCAATACATGAAATACCTAGTCTTTGAGCCAAATTATTTGATTTAAGGGGAAGCCAGCTTTCTGATTTTGATATTGCATTCTGAAGGGGCACTGTTCTTGACGGCATACGTCTGGAAGCTTATGATTTGTCACAAGCTATTACATGGTTAAACAATTATTTGTACCCAATTTACTGAACTTCTGTTCTTAATAAGACTTGCAGTAATGGGCACATGTTGCAGTAAGCTCGTTTAGTTTTTACTTGCAGTTGACTGCATTTGTGGAAACAATTCATCAAGAAAAGAGGATCCTATGGCTTCTTTTTTCTTCTGACAAAATGTTCCTCTCAAGTCTTTTAGCCACGACAAACGAGGCAAAAAATAGTAAACATGGGTTTTCCTATGTCCGCAAATAGAATTTCCCTGAAATGGTTTGTTTTCTGCATAGTTTAAGGTTGTCGAAAATAGGACTAGCCCCATTTTGCCTCAAAATTTTACCAAATAACTCGATGAACTTCATTTCAAACCATGGTATAGGCGAAAGTCTTGAGTATTTGATACGACGAATTTTCTGAACTATTTTGGCATGACCCCTCAAATTCTACTGAATCTTTCTTTGACAACTTACTTCACCCCAAATTACCATCTTTTGACAATGTTTCTAATAGAAAATCAGAAAAGTTTGTAATTGAAATTCACCATGTCTCATGAGCATTTTGCCCCCAACAAAATTCTGAATCACCAGAAAATGGAAACTGTTTGGGAGTGTTTCTTGGAGGGTCATATTGCATAGCCAAGTTTTTATCATATCAAGTCGAAAAGCGCCACAACTCCAGAGGTTAAACTTCAAGCAGTTGATCATGAAATAATGCGATTGACATACTATAAGTAAGGATTAAAATTTTGATTTGGAATATAATTTCAGTTCGCTCGCAAATAGAAAATTTCAAAAGTACAGTTGAAATAGAGAAAAAATTTAAAAACGTATATAAATAAATGAAAACATTAACTAAAATTACTTAATTTTTTTAGATGAAGCTTAACGATTGATTAATTTAACATGTTTATTGTTTTAATGTATTGTTAGACACAAGGATTAAAATTTTATTTGGTTGCATTGTTTCGGCCACCTACGAAACATACATCTTGAAAATATTTTTAAAACAAAAAGCGAATAAAAAATTTGATAACCTATTTCAAAAATGTATCAAAATATTAATCAAAATATACCAAAATATCTTGAAATACTTTTAAATATTTCAGAACATTTGTAAAAACATGTCGAAACACTTCGAAAAATTAAAATTTAATTTCAATCCTAAACCTGGTCCAGGGTTGTCTGGTCATTTTAGACCCGAATACCAATCATGATTGATGTGTACTAACAACTATTACATGTGAATACCGTGTATGTAATGTGATTCAATACTTTAACATCGGGCTAGTATTAACTCATGTTATAGTACCAGAGCCTATTAAGTTATCATTGGCTAATTTAATCCAATCTCACTCTTTAATACTCGAACCCAGCACACTCTTACTGTATTATATCATACCAACTAAAAAACTAAGGTAAAAGGGGGGTCCTGTGAATCATACACCATAAGATCAGATGCTCAAACCGGATTCTGTATCAAAGCAGAATCAGCACCAAAAACTACCCAGCTGTAAATATCTAAAACATTTACAGGGAAACGCATGAATGCCCCACAACCCTCAAGGAGTTGCAAAATAAACCAAATGTAAGTGTTTCTTTCTTTAGAAAATAACCACCATAGGGTCTTTATAGCAATTTTACCTTATGCCTGTTCTTCCCATATACGGCCGGCTAATTTTAGCTTCAGCTCCTGCCTATCCCCACCAGAAAAAAAGAGTGCCATGCTTCTCTGAATAATTAGCCCATCTAGACTGTCTCGAACTGTAGTATGACTGTCACGAATGCTCCTGGGAACTCCTTGCCATGTTAATTTCCTGCCATTTCCGCCAACTTCCAAGCTATAACTGAATTTCTTTGCATCATGGTCATCACCCATAAAGCGCAGGAAGGCCATGTAGACAGGTGCCATTTGAAGTTGGAAAGCCTCAAAGTGCAAGCAAAACTGGTGGCCAAAACAGTTGAAAACCTGCACCAAATAAGAACATCAATCATCTAAGTAAATTGATTGGATAAACATTACCATTGTTAAGAACAAAATGTCTGAACATGTGAGAAAGTTCCTTTTCAGGAATAGAAGTTTTCTAGCATAGAAATTGAACCAAACATGTTCTTTGATAGATTGTGGAGCAAACAAACCGAATCACTTCTCTTTTTCTTTCACAAATCCTTTATTTTTTAGTTCCCTTTTACTGCTTTCTTTGCACCTAAACATAGTACGAAGCACAAAGTAAAATTGGATTCAGGTCCAAAAGTAAAACAAAATTAACCCGTGAAAAAAATGATGTACTTAATGAAGCATGGAGTGCCCAGAAATAAACAAATGGATCACAGAACCTTTTTATCATTTGGCTAACTCTTCCATAAGAAGCGTCAATGGCAAAATTAAGATGATCTAGCCCACTAAATGGCATGGTTTGCTCCTTCTAGTCAAGTAGGACAATAAGGTGAACAATTGAAAATTTGTTTCAGTGAGTGCCATCTACTGAAGGCCCGGGTAGACCACTAGTAGTAACATTCAGCCATTTACGTGTTTTGTGAGGGGTAGACCTTCATTAAGTTGAACAGGAACAAAGCTGGTTGGAAGGGACAGGCTCTGGTTGTGACCCACCTTGTTGATTTTAACAAAAGGAATAAAAATAAAAACAAAAACTTCTGCATACAAACTAAATCAAACTCAAGGCTCTCAATCATAAAATTTGTGCTTGTTATTCTATAAGAGATAGCTCATCAAGTTGATTAAGCAGTTCAAGTTACAGAACATTCAATCATTAGACAGGTAACAATGCAACCTACACTGCTACCCACTTATAGTACGGAAACACGAAGATAATTAGGTAGTTAGGAATAATTGCATCCAAAAATTTGCATTCAAGAACCTAATTTACAAAGAATATAAAAAGAGAAATCCAAAACCTCAAAAACAAAGTTGATGGAGAAGGGATAAAGCAAGCCGAAGAAAAAATAAAAAAACAATCTACTGTCTTCATCTTAAGCAATTCTTGCTCCATTATAAAACCAATTCACTAGTAAACTGCAACAAAGCTATATTATGGAATCATTAATGGCACAAAACACTGTATACACATTGCTATCATTTATGCAGACTAAATAAAGGTAAGTGTGCAGCACTATAGTGCCCACGAGGTATCTAATCGAGAGTGATGGATATGGGAATTCCTTGATGTAAGCCAGCAAAAGATAGTATAGGCAGGCCAACTGGAAAAGTTAACAAAATTTTGTTGTATAAATTTGAGGGTAACAGACACATAGAGAGCTTACAGTTAACATCCATGTAGCATTCTCAACTTCTTGGGGATTGGTTTTGACATATCGGTGGTTGAAAGTACACCCATTGTGCATGTCCACCTTGTGATCGTCCTTGAGATGAGAAACCAGTAACTGGATATCACCAGTGACAGAGCATTCAGCTCCAGCATAAGGGCATTTATATGGGCGAAACCTGCAATTCTGCTCGTGCCTGGGCTGGTTGTGGTATGAGAATATCTCTTGACAACCCAAAATCTGGTATTTGCATGGCAGTTCTAGCGATTCTGCAACTCTCTCCAAAGCCAAGCACCTTATGTTTCCAAGCTCTTGGCGACAAATTGGGCAACATTGTACTTTCGCCTTGCAGTTCAAACATAAAGTGTGGCCATTTGGGCACTACACAGAAACAGACCAAATAAATGATCCAACCATCTTTAGAAACCTGTTGTTATGATAAGCTTATCATGTTTTCATATCAACACTTATGCACTTGCAGAGAACTGCAATAACCAGCCAATTCATGAAATACAGTCAATGCCACAGCATACAAGCTCAGTTTGTCTTATCTTTTTGTTTTTTCACCCTTACAACAAAAGGCAATAATAGAAGTGTTTTGTAATATTGTTGTGGTTACTTAAGGTGTGAACAGATTTGATGGTTATGATCTAATGTTGTTGGGAGTGAATTGCACTTATAATGAGATAAATAAGCATTTTTAAATCCAGCTACCTACAAAAGGAAGAATTCTCCTATAGAGTCTGCTTCAACAAAATGCTTAATTTCCTTGCATTCCAAAGAGTAGGAGTTAACAGCAAATATGATCAGAAAACAGACTCTCCTTGTTGCGCTGCAATTTATACAATGATCAAGAAAACAAAGGATGAATATTTGGTAAAACAATGCCTCACTTTGGTTGAAGCACATAGACGATGTCTTTTACGCCTACAGTAAGAGCATCTAAATGCGCAACAATGCCAATTCTGATCAACTATTCATCTGAGTTTTGTAAAGCCAGCAAAGTAACACACCTATTGTAAGTTATTTTGCCATTACAGTATCTATATGTCTCATCATAATTACATACAGTACCGTAATTATTTTACAAGCACATCCTATGCAACTGCAAGAAATCATAAAATTGAAGAATTTATTAGCAGCATATGATGATCAATTTATACACAACGATTAATCGTGCCTAGTAGCATGATTTGTTTAACAGTAAACACAAAAGGTATCTACAAGCAGCAAACATATGGCTTCCTGTTATTTCAGGGTGTGGAATTCATGTGCACAATGAAAGCCTTCCCTTCTTCCCAAAATACAAGGAAAAAAAATAAAGTCAAAGATGTGTGAATATATGAAACCATATTCGAGGGGAAAAAACAAAGAGAAGGTTTTTTAAGAAATTGCCCTAGCTAAACTACAAAAGCTCTCTAAACTAGATTACATACCCTGAACTACACTTGGGAATAAACTTATCCTAGTTACACACTGGCGTTGGTCACTATGTGACAGAACTTTCATTTTGCAAGGACTCAATATTGCAACCAGATGTGAATCTCTATAGGGACCATTATGTATTGGGAACATAAAAAAATCAGTAAAGATCTAATCCCTAAGTAATCAATTGCAGGACTAAGAAAATCCATCATAGAACATAAAAAATAGGGAGTTTCTTTACAATACAAGAAAATAGAGCATTTTCAGCTTGACAGTCACATATGAGAACTTACCTGGTGAATGGGAGGGTACATTAAAGTGATGCAAACAGGGCACTCAAGTAGCTCATGCACAGAGCTATTTGACGCCATACCAAGCCTCCGACCAACAACAGTTGCAGATTTTCTGAAAGGGGAACTTAACTCCCCATTTGCAGGTGCTATACCATAATCAGCATATGCAGTGCGGGACTCAATAATGTCCTGGTAGACACCACCTCCTGGAGCCATGTTTTATATTTAAATATTTGTACTAGTACAATCTCAAGTAGCACCTAGATATTCTCTTCACTTGTTTTGTAATGTCCTTGAATGGTCAACACTGTCAAACACAACCAACATCTGAAGTTAAATTGGCAGAAATTCAATCTTATAGGGAAACAGAATGACAATGATATTTAACATGGTAAAGTTCTACTTTAAAAGGAATTTTTTTATTGTCTATAATTGTAACCACTACATAAGAGCATCATTTTGTGAAGAAAGACTAATTGGAAGTACAAGAAAATTCAACAGGAGCAAATTGAAGTGAAAAGCCAAGGGGTATCATTTGAAAAGTGTACATGGCATTTCTGGTGGATAGAAAAAAGCATGCTCACAACATACCAGAGAAATAACCACAAATTCAGAATTGATCAAGGAAATTCGAAGATTGTGTGCACTGGCTGTTGTATTCGTGCTTCACAAGTGCTCCATGATTTAGGATCAAGGCATATGCCCCTATCCCAAAATACTGCATCATTTTTCTCATATAGGGGAACACCTGGTCCACAGACTAACGGATTGGCCAGTGTGGTCCAGCATTGCAAACAACTGATTGGGTAGGCCCTCTATTGTCAGACAAATCAGCTGGATCGAACATATGGACCTTGGATGATCCTTTTGTGCAGGCCTCCTCACCAACCACAAATGGAAAACCAAAATTTCCATTTACTTTTATGTTTTTTCCCTATACCTGGGAAGTGTATCCCAAAGTCCTACGACATCATTGATGACAACTTACCTCTTTTATTTAGGTTTCCAGTTCAGAGAGCATCATATATTTGGGTCCCTTCAACTAACATGAGGTAAATTTTCTCAAATTTTTTTAAGGTTTCACTTTATTTAATGTGGATTTGCAATGTGAGATACCTTAAGCATGTACACTTCTTGTAAGTTTAGGTGAAATCATGTTAGACCTATGTAAAAACATGCATTCCGTTTGTTTGTCTCAGTTTCTTTTCTTGGAAACAAGAGAAATGATTCAAGCCTTGACAATCTTCATGGATATGCGACATAGAAGAAAACTGACATCTAAAAGCAAGTCCTTTGTCTACATTTGCAAATTTCCCCCAACTACTGAATATGATATCTTTCTGATGAGGGAAGGAAAATTGGGGTGATGATAATGATTACGAGGAGGATGGTGTGAAAGTGGACAGTGGAGAACGGAGGACAGAGAAAGAAGAATGGAGCATGGGAACGGAGAATGTTCGACATGATGGTGATGATGTTAATTGATGGCAAGTACCTATTATTTAGCTTACTTGCATACACACTTGTAGGTCGCATTATATTGAATATCAACTAACCAAGATTCAAAATAAATTCACATATTCTAGAATGTCATATGATAGTATACTTGTTCGGGATGTCTATCCATATTTTGGTGGTTCAATTTAGTGTGATTTGCAACCTTTCCACAACCCATCCCCCCCCCCCTCAAAAAAAAAAAAGAGAGAAAATAATAAGAAATTTTAACAGGGGTAAGGTTTTAGCCATGTCAAATAAAATACCACAAAGATGTATATATGGTAGCAAGGTGCCCCACACCTGCTATCAAACACTTCCCAAACAATGTTGTTCCCATATAAGAGTTACAACTAATTCAGTCAAACGTTTTGTAGAATACATTGTAAATATGCAAAGCATTGCCATTGTGACATTTTAGCTGCATCCTCTGATCCTGATACATAATGTTCAAATGAGCCTTGCTACTTGGACACACCCAAACACAAAAGCAATATATCCACATTGTTAGAGTAATCTAGTATATTAGCATTAAAGGTAGATTAGTCATTTATATTACTATGTTTTGACCTAGTATAAATTCGTTTGTAATACAGATCTGGTTTAGACTTAATCAATATATTTTTCCTCTTTCATTGATAAACATCAACATGGTATCAGAGCATTAATCCCTTAACTCAAATTCATGATTAAAGTCTAGAAGAAGAGAAGACCTGATGAACTCAACGACGTGAAGACAACATGAACCCGACGACGTGAAGACTTTGTGAAACCTAACGACAAACAACACTGATGTCATCATCGCTGGCGATGACGTCATCAGTCTCCGACTGTGAATACCGCCATCTTGATCGATTCTTCATAGGCTTCTCATTGGTGTGCTCCCTTTCTTGTTTCGAGTTCATCTAGTAAGTCTTATGGTCTGGTTTCTTGTCTTCACAGTGCACCGACTGCCTCTCTTTGCCTGTTTTTTTGTTGGATTTCTGTTATGTGGATTTCTTGTGGTTTGCTAGATGTTTCTTGCTTCTACTGTACATCGGTTCTTGTTTCTGGTTCTTGTGGATTTTGGTTTCTTGTGATCGGCTAGTGTTGCTGGGTTGCATTGCTATTCAGTGTTGTTGGGTGTTACTAGGTTGGATTGTTATTCGGTGTTGCTGGGTTGCTTGATTTCTGTTGCTGGATTTATTGTTGTTTTCTGCTTTATTTTGGGTATTATTTTGCTGAGACCTCTTATTAACATTATGGCAAGTGGACATTCTGATTCTCTTCAAGTTATTAGTGTCAGATTAAATGGTAAAAATTATGCATATTGGTCTTATATTATGAAGAATTTTCTGTTGGGGAAAGAGATGTGGAGTTATGTTAATGATGCTTTGCAAGCTCCAACAGATTCGAAGGCAGAGAAAAATGCTGAATTAAAGAATACATGAGAAGTCAACAATGCTAAAATTTTCACTTGAATTAATAACTCAGTTGATCAGACCATTGGTGTGCATTTGGCTAAGTTTAACACAGCCAAATAAATTTGGGATTATTTAGCAACATTGTTTGTTCAGTCTAATTTTGCAAAAAGATATCAGCTTGAGCATAAAATTCGAGTTGCGCGTCAGGGTGATAAGACCATACGAGAGTTCTACTCGATTATGACTGGATTTTGGAATCAATTAGCACTTGTTGAGCCAGCTGAATTGAGTACTCATATGGTATATCATACTTTTAGGAAGGAGCAGCAGTTGGTACAATTTTTGATGGCCCTTAGAGATGACTTTGAGGGCTTTCGTGGTTCTATTTTCCATCGTCTCCCACTTTCCACAGTCGATGCAGTATTGAATAAGCTTTTGCATGAAGAAGTTTGTCTTAAGATTCTTTCTGGAAAGGGTCTTCTTCCATTGCCTAATCAGACGGTACTAGCTATACCACCCAGAAGGACTCCTCATTCACAAACTAAATATCAGGGTCGAGCTGTTTCAGATGAGTGTAGTTTTTGTTGTGAGAAGGGTTACTGGAAGGCTTAATGTCCTAAATTAGTAAACAAGAATGCCAACGGGGCTTTGCAGAAGCCATTTAGGCCCAAATATCATCATACAGCCGCAGCTGCTCTACCAGTGAATGAGACACTCCCATCAACTCCTAACATGACTATGATAGCTGATCAGTTGCAGAAGCTTCTTTCCCTTCATCAACCAGATGCCCTATCAATTCTTCTTCCACAGGTTCATTTACTACAGAACCTTCAGGTATCTCTCAAACTGCTTGGGTCTTTGACTCAGGAGCCACCCATCATATGACTAGTAATTCTTCCTTATTTGTTTTTATTGTTTCCCCTCTCTCTATATCTGTTCTTGCAGCCAATGACACCCAAATGTATTTGGCTGGTGTTGGAACTATCGTGTCTTCCCAGCTTACACTTCCTGATATCTATTATATTCCTCAACTTACTTTAAATTTAATATCTGTTAGTCAGTTGTTTAATTTGGGATTCTTAATTCATTTTTTTTTTACTGGTTGTGTTATGCAGAATTCACGGTCCAAGAAGCTGATTGGGACAGGCCATAGAAATGGAGACCTATATGTATTGGACGAACTTCATTTCCCTGAAGTTGTTGCATCTACTGTTGATTTATCTTCTTTTCTATTGAGTCCCAAATCGCCTAATTTTTATTTATAGCATTCTCGTTTAGGTCATGTTTCTCATTCTTATTTAAAATTTCTAACTTCTACTGGTAGTTTGGATAGTTCAGAGTGTTATAATAGTTCAAATTGTAGTGGTTGCAAGTTGGCTAAATTTACTGCATTACTTTTCAATAAAAGTAATTCTCGTTCCCTTGCACCTTTTGATATTATACATTCTGATATTTGGGGACTAGCTTTTATTGCTACTAAAGGGGGTTTTNCAATAAAAGTAATTCTCGTTCCCTTGCACCTTTTGATATTATACATTCTGATATTTGGGGACTAGCTTTTATTGCTACTAAAGGGGGTTTTAGATATTATGTTTTTTTTATTAATGATCATACCAGATATTGTTGGGTGTATCTAATAACACGTAGGTCTGAGTTCTTTTCTATTTTCTCTACCATTCGTACTATGATGCATACTCAATTTTCTTCTATCATCAAATATTTCTGTTGTGATCAAAGTGAAGAATATTCTTTTAGTGTTTTTTGTGATTTGTTGAAATCTGATAGTACTGTTTTTCAATCTTTTTTTACTAACACACCTTCTCAGAATGGAGTGGCAGAACGGAAACATCGTCACATTATTGAGACAACTCGTTCTCTGTTGTTATCATCCAGTGTCCCTAGCTCTTTTTGGGGAGAAGCAGTTCTTATAGCAGTTCATCTAATTAATTGCTTTCCAACAATCCTTAATTCTGGTGTCTCACCTTTTGAAAAACTGTGTGGTAAGACACCTAACTATTTCTCCTTACGTGTGTTTGGATGTACATGTTTTATTATACTACCTAGTGTTAATCGTACCAAACTCTCGGCTCGTTCAGCCTTATGTGTTTTTCTTGGCTAAGGTGATAGACAAAAAAAATTTCGGTGTCATGATCCTAGTACACNGTGTTAATCGTACCAAACTCTCGGCTCGTTCAGCCTTATGTGTTTTTCTTGGCTAAGGTGATAGACAAAAAAAATTTCGGTGTCATGATCCTAGTACACAAAAACTCTATGTTTCTCGCCATGTTATCTTTATGGAGCATATTCCTTTTTTTTTCT